GTCTCAGGTACCGCTGTGGGTGTGCAGCAAGGTGCGCCCCACCCAGAGGCCAGCGGCTGCTGCCGGGCCCTGCGCGCCGGCTATATAGAGCGAGCGCAGCCGGGAGAGCGCGCGGCGCGCAGCTCTTTGTGTCGTAACAGGGGGAACTTCGCCGCGCCAGAAGTCCTGCGCGGAGCGCCCGGCCTCTCCTCTCCGCGCCGCGTGGCGGGGGGGCTCGTCCCGCCGCCATGGCCGAGCCCCGGCTGAAGAAGCGCCGGGGCAGCCTGCCCGTGTGCCCCGGCCACCGGCTCGCGGTTGGCAGCCGGGCGAGGCAGAACTTCCCGGCGGCGGTGGAGGAAGGCCTGTGCGGGGTCACCAGCGCCCTGCTGGAGCTCTCCTACCGCCTCCAGGCGCTGGTAAGGCGGCGGTACCGCCCGCCCCGCCGCTGCTTCCTGCCCGCCTCCCGCCGGGCTCCGCTTTCGTGCCGCCTTCTGCCGCCCTCCCGCTCGGCCCTTCCCCCGTCGGGCCCCGTCCGCCCTGACGGCACCCTTCCCCCGTCTCTGCTTCCCTCCCCGCTGCGCCAGCCTCCCTCAGGCTCACCCCTTCCCCAGCCAAAAGTGGGCCAGGCCCAGGGTCAGAAATCCCCCCTCCCCCCCCGAAGCGTCCTGTTGAATTTAGATAGTGTGGCTGCTTTCATTCACCTCCCTCCAGTCCGTGGGGGGGAGAAGAGTGAGGGGGGATTTGATAGCTGCTTTCAACTACCTGAAGGGGGGGTTCCAAAGAGGATGGATCTAGACTGTTCTCAGTGGTGACAGATGACAGAACAAGGAGTAATGGTCTCAAGTTGCGGGGGGGGGGGGTTAGGTTGGATATTAGGAAAAAAGTTTTCTTCACTAGGAGGGTGGTGAAGCACTGGAATGGGTTACTTAGGGAGGTGGTGGAATCTCCTTCCTTAGAGGTTTTTAAGGCTGGGCTTGACAAAGCCCTGGCTGGGATGATTTAGTTGGTGTTGGCCCTGCTTTGAGCAGGGGGTTGGACTAGATGACCTCCTGAGGTCCCTTCCAACCCTGATATTGTATGTGTTCCAACAGCTGTACAGCGTGCCCAGGCACCAAGGTGATGGGTGCCTTGGAGCTATAGTTGGCAGTCCCTGTGTTGTGCTAAATTTATGAGAGCCTGTGCATGTAGCCTCCTCTTAAAACAGAGGTGGGCAAACTTTTTGGCCCAAGGGCCACATCTGCATGGTGAAATTGTATGCAGGGCCATGAATGGAGGGGGAGGGTGTGTGGTGTGCAGGAAGGGGCTCAGGGCAAAGGGTTGGGGTGCAGGAGGGGTGAGGCAGGGGGCTCAAGGCAGGAGGTTAGGAGGCTCAGGGCAGGGGGTTGGAGTTTGGGGTGCAGGAGGGGTTTGGGGTGTGGGCTCCAGTCTAGCACCACTTACCTTGAGCGGCTCGAGGGTGGCAGTGGGGCTAAGGCAGGCTCCCTTCTTGTCCTGGCCCCGTGCCACTCCTGGAAGTGGACAGCATGCCCAGCAGTGGCTCCTGGGGGTGGGGTGGGGCAAGCGGCTCCACCATGCGCTGCCCTTGCCTGCGGGTACCACCCCGAAGCTCCCATTGGCCATGGTTCCGTTCCTGGACAATGGGAGCTGTGGGGGTGGTGCCTGCAGGCAAGGGCAGCACAAGGTTCCCTCCCCTCCCCCAGGGGCCATAGGGACGTGGTGCCGGCCGCTTCCGGGAGCGGCGTGGGGCCAGGGCAGGCAGGGAGCTTGCCTTAGCCCTGCTGCGCTACAGGGCTGGCAATCCTGCAGGCCGGATTGAAAGCCCTGACGGGACGGATTCAGCCCGCAGACCATAGTTTGCTCTCCCGTGTCTTAAAGACACAAATGGGAAACCCACTTGCAGTGAGATCAGTTATAATGAAACTCCATTGATAGGACCAGATCCTAAATTCCTCATTCTCAATTTTACTCAGGCACCAACCTCACTGCTGAGGTATAATGGAAGTATGGGGTTCAAGTTTTGGCGTGTGTAGTAGTATCAAAATCCCCAATTGTTTTTTAGCACATCAGTGTTTAGGTTGTTTTTCCAGTTTGAATGAAGATTGGTTGAGGGTGGGGACAGGAAAGACCACTATGGGCCAGAGACGTGCAATTTGTAGGTTCTCACAGCAGTTTAACTTTGCAGTTCAGCATATACTAATTTGCAGCAGCTGAGGATCTGGCTTGGTATTTTTCGTTACTAGAGTGAGTGTTAAATATATACTTTGAATGTTCACAGTAGGTCAGAATCTGCTCTCTCCCTGTGGTTTCAGCTGAAATTAGCATTATTCCCAGAAGAACAAGTCCATCAGTAGAAGCAAAAGAAGGATAAATTCTAAGCTTCTGTTAATTTAATCTTACTAGTTATTTGTCCTAATATTGACAACTGTTAGAGGGCTGATTGTAGGCTTCAGAGCAGTAGTTTGAATAGATCTTTTCTGTACTAAGGGATTTGAGAGAATGCTTTTAAATTTAAAAATACATGGGACTGCTCCACCACTGTTACTCCAATTTTACACTAGTGCAACTCCACTAAAATCACTAGAGATATACTGACAAAACTATAACAACACAGTAACAAATCAATGCCATGTATATTCTGCAAAGCTCGTATGGAAAACTGGCTGTATAAAATCAGTTTACAAGAGGGGACAAGAATAAGGAATCCTAGCAGCTTTGAGGTAAATTGCTTGGAAGCAGTGGAGGTTGTGTGTGGTGAAAACTGGTTGTGTTGGTGAATCAGTGAAAGAACAGTTTGTTTTCCTATGAACATCACTGATATTTGAAGTGAAGACCAGCAAGCGGTTAATCTTACATGGACTTTAATAATAAATAAATAAACTGTTTACACTAATGCCTGGATTTCAGCAGACAAGTCTTTAGTTTTACTCTGGGTAACAAAAGCCCACAACAGACAGATCAAACAATAACAACACATTAGGCTGAAATATCAAATATTAAAGAAATGTGCACTTTACAAAAAAGCTATTAATCCGTTGTTGGGGAACAAGGATGGTCAGCACCCTACATCTCATGCCCCATGCTGCACTCCTTAGACAAAATGTCCATTGATTGACTTCAGGATCTGACCCTCAGTGTATCTGTGAGATCCTTTGATCAGCTTTGGTGTAAAGCATCAATCAGCCTGTGCAGGGCCAATGCAGAATCCTCTTCCACAGTGCAGAGGCCCTCATGTGCTGTGGTCTACCTTGCACCTTCTTGTTATGGAACTTAAATGGTGAAGAGATCTTGGTACTGGCTTTCCACACTCTGGGTGCATTCCACCCAATATGAATAAAACTGATAGTTGAGCATAGTTTAAATCTTGGAGTGTCTGAAGGTACTGTACTTCTCTAGAAAGCCATTAATTCAGAGGAGCAGAATTTTGCCTGTAATATATTTATAATAGATCTAAGTGGTACCCTTAAGGAGGGGGTGGTGTATGTATAAATTAGATGTATACATAATATAGTTGTGTTGCCAGTAATATTTCCCTTGGAAAAAACTAGTCAGCATTGTCTATAAGGAAGTTGATTAAACTGATGCAGTCTGTTTTTTCTTGTGTGACCCAAATCTGTTGTAACTTTTTTTCTTTTCTCTCTTTCGTATTTCCAAATTTACATATCTTAAAGTTAGTTTTAGCTGAGTCCTGTCTCTTAAAGGGGCCAATCCTATATTCCTAATGCACCTAACATTTCCAGTTAAGTCAATGGGAATTTTGGGTGGGCAAGGAATGCAGGATTGGGCCCTTAGCAGTTTCAATATTCTTTTATTTTTATTTTTTTAAATAACCCTTTGTCTTGTGGAGTTGTTGTTACCCAAATTTCCATTCTGAAGAAGTCAATTTGGGGTGGGGGGGTGAGGGCATTCAGTATGAAGCCTTAGGCAGAAGAAGGGAAAGGAGAGAAGAGAGGATGGAAGAAGGGTGAAACATAAGGCTAAGAAGAGTGAGACTGGGCAGCTAAAGTGTAGATAGGAAAGGGGTGGGATGAAGGTGTATCAGCAACTAACGGCAATGCAGTAAAGGAGAGAAAAAAAATCCAGAGTTATGGTTTCAGAATGGAGTGAACAATGATGTCAGGAGGCTAAGATGGTTCCTCCTGGCTGCTGGTATCTGTGGAGAGCATAGACGACTGCGGGCACAATCTAAAGGGGAGGACACATGACTTCCCACGTCTCCCCTGCCCAGTGATACCCGCACCGTCCTCTGCGCCCAGCCCCACGTTACCTGCAGGGAGGGGAAGGGCAAGGTCTGTCCTTCTCTACCTGCGCCTCTCCCCCCATATTTGGCTGCTCTCCCTGGCAGCTAGGTGGGGACTAGGACAGAGCCACTTCTACCTGAGAGAGCCTGGTTGGGAGGCAGGGGTGACCCCCTCAGAGCTCCTCTCCCTCCCCACCCCTGGCAGGCCAGTCTAAGGGGGGCACTTGGCCCCCCTACACATTGCCTCTGGTGGAGAGGGAGAGGAAGCTGATGATTTTGGTGCCCTAAGTGGGTCCCTCTGCATCTGCTAGTGGTGATGGTGAAAGGATCTGGATACTTTTCCCCACAGATAAAGACAGTCATCAATTTCTGATAACTGTTTAATTTTTTCCCCAAATCAAAAACCCATTTGAAGCTAGAAGTCATAGGAGCATATCACTCAAAGCAAACAGTGTCACTAATACAATAGTCTCATGTCTAATGTTCAGAGGACTGGGGTGTGTGTATGTATTCTTAAAAAGAGACCGACTACCTGATCTGGAGGAACATTTGACTTACTTCATTTGTAATAATTGGGGTAGAAGTTTTTAGAGGTGCCGCAGGCAGTTAGAAGCACAAGCACTATTGAAAAATTTCTCCTTTTATTCTTTAAATATTAGATCTGATTGACCTGTATTCTATTGGATATTAATTTCCCCCTTCTTTCTTCCCAACTCCAGGCTTTCATACTTTAACAGCAATTTTTGTTTAAATATGTAGGGTGAAGTTTTTGATCAGTCTGACGTGGCTCTACCAAACTTTTCAAAGTTTTTCCGGCACCAGGCTAAAGAAGAGAAGGAAGCTGCAGAGGCCATGCTGAAATACCTACAAGAGAGAGGAGGCCATTACTGTACCAGAATCATCCAGGTGTGCAGCAGACAAATCTGCTCTTCCATAATCAGCAAACTCCTCTAAACACTTGTTGTGCATATCTATCACTCCCAACCTTTGGGTCTGTACACCATTAGCTTTCCAAATACTTTAATTCCCCAATCATATTCACTTATACTCTTGTTCTTTAGGGACTTTTTTTTATTAGACAAATGCAAACCCTGACTCTAGGGTTTGCATTTGTCTAGTCAAAGATAAAATGAGGGCACTCATTCATATTTTTCTCTAACATTTTGCTACCCTAGTCAGTCTGGTGTTTGTTGCTATGGTAGAGGTAGCTATGCAGAACTTTTGCCTACTGACTCTGAAACTGAGGGCCAGATTCTGGCCTCAGTTCTCTGTGGTGCAAGTCCATTGACCTCAGTAGAGTTACTTCAGTTTTACACTGGTATAATAGAATTTGGCCCAGAAGATTTTAAGCCAAATTTTAATCTCCCTACGCAAGTATAAATCAAGAGTAACTTGAAATCAGTGAAATCGTGTGTAAACTCTTATAGGAGACTCAGGCTCCTCAGACTTCTGTATCAAACTAGTGTCCTATAAACAGTTAAATGTGTATTTCTACTGTATGCCCTTCACAGCATTCATTTATAGCAGCCATGAGTAAAAAAAGTTGCCCTTAAATAACTGTAACACATTCAGTTTCCATATTGTGTAGAGGGGTTTTTTTTGGGGTGGGGGATATTGTTTTTTGAGAATGAACCTCAGTTATAGCTGCAGCTATCTGAATCCTTACTGTCTGAATTGAAACATGTTATTGTTAGTAAGTATACTGGAAGTGGCAGAATCTGACCACTGACTCAGAAAAGATTTAGTAAATGCACAGAAAAGGAAGGAGCTGTTGCAAAATCCTAGTATCCTTCTGCAATGCATTTCTTGTTTGGAAAACCAGGTGTTTCAGGGAAATAGCAATGACTGACAATTCTGTCTTGCTTTTTATGTTTCCAGAGACCAAACTGTGAACATGTATCCAATGTGGTGAAGGCCCTTGAAGTAGCATTGGTTCAATGGAAAACAGTGACAGGATATTTTGAAGAGCTTTATGCCCTGAGCATTGAAAATGCAGACCCTCATAGTGCAAGTACTATTAAGAAACAATTTATTGAACCCAAGATCCGGAAGATCAAGTTGATGGGAGACCTCCTGACCAATGCTCACAGGCTTGTGTGTTCCCAAGATGGCAGAGGCAACCTTGGAGACTACCTTATGGAACGGTTACAGGAAGAGCTAAAAACAGGCATAGAGACAGATTCTAGGCACCACTGCACCCCTTCTACATCTCTTCAGCAATGTAGAGGGACTGCAAAGGGGTTGCATCGGCCCCCAAAAGAATTCTCCCAGAAGAGCAGCAGCATAGGGCCAATGCATGCAAACCAGTGCTGTCCCTCCTCACAGTCTCTGTGCAAGGATATGCCAGGGGCAAAACGGAGGCAAGAGAAGGAATAGTTGGAGCACTATCTCCATTCTGGGCCATGGAGAAACCTATAGGCAGCCCCAGGGGAGGCTGAGGCTCAAATCCAGGAGATGAAATGATGGTTTAAAGCCCCATGACTCTGCCCTGCCCCCCCCCCCTTTACACTTTTCCTCCTGGGCTGTGCTTTCTAGGCTGTGTCTCCTCCAAAGTGCAGCACAGAATCTAATCTGTAATATACCGCCTCCTTGTATCATAGGTATTAAGGCTGCTAGATGTAGAGAATGTCAACATTAAATTAACCTTTCAGAGTCTCTTACCCATAAATAACATTTCTTTTTTTGGAAACTACCAGACCTCTAGGTTTCTTTCCTGTCTTAAATGGTTGATTGGATTATTTAGTGCAAAAGAGGGTTTAAGTATATAAGACTTTTTAAAGAAAAAACCTTTTTTAATACAGAGTAATTTCTATGCTGGAGAAACTATAGCTGTTTATATTATTAAACAAATAAGATAATCACTATATTATACAGCGGTGCTGGAACTACTTTTATAGTGGGGGGTGCTGAATATGGAAACCATGTATTTGGGTTGTTGTTACTACAAATCAAGAGCTGCGGCAGCACCCCTAGTTCCAGATTATATCAATACAGATTGTACTATGTAATCATTGTTAAACATTTTTACTGTCTTGGTAAATATTACATGGATATTTTTTTAAGAGACTTGTTCTTAAAATGAGGGGGATTTCCATGATATTCTTAATTTTTGTAGCAATTATAATAGAGTAATTCAATAAACTGCTTTCTATCCAAGTTATTTCTAGTTCTACACTTCTCAAAGATGAAGGATATTAATGTTTTGTACACAGTTATGAGTGCTTATTTGTAGGAACATGGCATGCCACTGTTTCTGACTATTGGACTAGTTATCTGCTTTGCTTGCACTCAAAGGCTATTTGATGGATGGCTCAACTCCCTCTGAATCAGTAGTGAACTAGTGTGCCAGAAATTCCTTCTACTGGCTGGACAGCATATTGTTTAAGAATTGCTGTGGCACTGGGACATTACCCAGGGTACATTCTGGACAAATGAACAGCTGTGTCCCCTCAGTTCTCCAACATGGGATGCCTTTTACAATGCTTTGCTGTGAGAGTTACAACACCTGGTCTGCTCACACACAAGCTTCCAGCATTCAGATTACTCCCAGTTATACTGCAAGAGTGCTACAGCCAGCTACCCTTGAATTACACTGCAGATCAACATCAGCAAATTTCCAGTCTCTGACTTTCCCCCAGAAATGTACATCTTGTATTGCCCAGCTCTCCTGGACAATACAAGCTCATATAAAGTTTGGCAAAACAGAATTTGTGCACATCATTTCTATTAATAAAATGACAAACACACTGTTTAGATAAAACGATTACACGTAATGAGGCATAAATTGGTTACAAGAAAACAAAACACAACTAATACCTAATGTAACAAGCTAAGTGAATTTGAAGCAAAGGTCTCTCACCACATGTTACAGCAGTCTTAGTGGCTGAATTCCTTTGTCAGGATCCCTCCCCCACTCCCATGCTGCTTCCTTTGTTCGAGTTTTGTTGATGCCATGAGTAGGGAGGAATAATTTGGGGTGTCTTTCTCTTCTTTGAGAATCATCTCCAGCTGAGGTTCGGAAGCCAAAGTCTGTGTGGACAGGAACCCCCAGCTGTTTTTGTCAAGATGTAATTTTTTTTCACCCACATCCTCTTTCCTGTCAAAGAATGGCCACTTAACCAGGTGAGAGTCCATTTGATTTTTGTTGACACCTGGCTAAAGCATAGATTAACCTTTGTCTCTGGGGAACTTGTTTGTGACTCTTCCTCAGACTGAGAACATGTCTTTAGTAATATACAGTAGACTCCTATAACTTTACATTCAGTGTTGCCATACATCTTACCAGGACAACAGTAATCAATAAATTAAGTTTTCAAATGATACCTCACAAGGCATATGTTTAATAACACTTATAGTTTTCCAAAGGGGGTGAAAATACATGTACAAGCTGTCAAACCATCTTTCAGATAAGATTTAAAACAGTTCTCTACCATTTTCCATCACAGATACCAGGGCAAACTGAGGTATTAACCATAGTGTCCTGGCTAGATTGAGACCTAGGCAACTGCATTAATTCCCATACACATTCTGCTGTTACTTAGTGGACCAACCATCAGAATTTCCCAAATTAGCTGTAGGCAGGAAATAGTAATGTCCAATGTTGTATTCTCAATGTATCCAGTATAGCTATGGCTCATTGGGCATTCCTTTAGTGGCCCTTTTAGTTGCTACTCAATTTTGCTTTTCAGTATGTTACTACTGTATTCCCAATATAGAACTAAATCACTGTATGACAAAATTTAGACATTTTGGAGTTGCCTACATCAAAAGATTAGCTAGTGTATTTGAAATTTTCTTCAAATTGTTATTAATACTCTAAGTAATATTCCTAATATCTTTGGAAAAGATACAATTTCTAGATTAAAAAAAGGCATTTTGTAGATATGCTATTATTCTCGATTTACTCTCTCTCCTTTATATATATATTTTTATGTATATATATGCTAATACTTATCTACAGACAAGATTTCTTTAAGCATACATACTGCATATTTAATATCAGAATTGTCCCTTTATTTATCTGCTAAGGAGGAAAACAAAACTCCAGAAAACTGCAGTCAAGTGAAAACTGTCTGATTTCTTAGTTTGCTGTGCTGCACACAGCTGTAGCAAGTGCCAATTTCTGTAAATCAGACATTCTAGCCACTTATTTATTTTGGTAACACCTTACTCCATCTAAGTCACTTTCCCAATCTCCCTTCTATTACTCCAGTGGACTGTTCAGCTTCTTATGGAAAAAATAACTTCCTCTACCTTCTACCATAAAAATGCTACAGTATTCCACCAGAATGGTCTAAACACTGTACTTGTAAATGGCAATGTTTGGGATTATTTTCCTAGGCTGCTGCAATAGTTAAAGGGATACTTCCATCTCTGGATCAGATTCCAATACCCATACTCATGTTGAACAGTACCTTATTCCATAATTAGTTCCTCTGATTTCCATTTAATGTAAGCATGGGTAACAGACTTCAGCCCTTTGTAAATACCAAAATGCTGGTACAACAGTTAGTTGTGAATGCAACCAAACTACCTCTCTAATAACACATTACAGTTTAAAAAAAACAAAACACAAAAAACAAACACATTCAAGTAGTTTGTGAACAATACTCACAATACCTCTCCACAATGCTATTTGAGTCATTTACCTTTCCAGAATCTGGTGTAGGCTCTCTCAGTTTTCATCTTGGAAGGCTAATTTAGTCCCCTAGCCAACTCCCAAAACTTCTCCCATTGCAGGCTAAAGGGAAGTCCAACAAAACAAATAGTCCAAAATGAATCCAATATTTACAGTGCAGGGATTCTCATGTTATCCTTTACCACTGGACTTCTGCCACAGGTCTTTGGCGGCAACCAACAAGTAGCTTCTGCTCTCTCCAGGTTTCCCCCAGGCTCAATAACCCAAAACGCTACCAAATGCTCAGTACTTTAACCAGCTCCTTGGTATTCCATTTAGACTTTTTCCCAAGATTCTTCCAAAATACTTCCCAAGACCTTTGATTGGAGAGACCAAGCGTAAAATCTGTTCAGGAGGAATACCCCACAAAGAGTTGCTACCTCCCTAGTTTCTGCCTTACTGGGGAAAGGGAACTCTTTATAGCTCTACTCCCTTTCCCAGCAGTCATTGCTGCCTAGCCTACAACTCCAATAGTCTAGCTGCGCAAGTTCCAGAATGCCTTATTTGAAGGCTGAATCAGGAACAGGTTTAGAGCTGATCTTTGAACCCCTCTTAAAGGGCCAGATAACACTGATAGATATATTTATAAATTATTCCCATTTTGCAAATGGGACAACTAAGTTAAAGAAAAGTTAAATGGCTTGACAAGGTCATACAGTAAGCCTTTGACATAGCCAGAAGTAGAACCAAGCAGCCCTATCTCCCTGTCTCACACTCTTAACAATTCTAATATGCCACCCTTCTTCCCAATTTCTCATTTGAAATAAATATGGTTTATTACACATCTAATATTATTAAAATACATATTTTTACTTTGTTTAGTTGCTAGGGAAATACTTCACAAAGAAAAAGGAAAGTCTATTTCTTTTTTGTGCCCAAGAATCACTGTTAGAATAGCAAAGGGTTGAAACAAGAAAAGTTCCACAAGTTTGCTACTTTACCTCTCAGGAACAGCTGGGATATATAATTATGAATGTGTTAGGGTGGTCAATAGCTGATCTCATTGGGACATATCGCTTTTCAGCACTGGGGACAAAGTGAAAGAAGGAGGTAGTGGAGAGTCAGAACAATATTAAACCTAGTCAGTTTTCTGTTTAAAACAAAATTGATTTTTGGGGGGCAATGGTACAATGTGACTAATAGGGCTCTGCTTTGACTCTATCGGAGAAGGCATAAGGACTTTTTAGATGGAAAAATGGGAACTGTTGAAAAATGAAATTACATTAAAAAGAATTACTCATTAATAAATAATCTAATTGAACTGTTGTATGAATAGGAATTCAGGATTGGACTACAGTAAATATTTTGATTTTATGGACTATGAATAAAATAGAGGTCCCCATTGAAGTCAATGGGAGCTTTGTCCTTGACTACAATGGAGCCAGGATTTCACACTATGTTTATAACTGCAGAAGGGAAACTAATTTTAGGCCAGATTAGATTTAATATATATATATATATATATATATTTTATTACTCTATTGTGGGCTAAGATTCATCTCTTGCCTGTAGTTATCCTTCTTGTTCCAGTGCTCACTGCGGGTCTAATCCTGAACACCTTGCCCACCCAGAACCTCCACTGAAGTCAATGGGAGTTGCAGATGTAGACCGCATGGATGACCAGGTCCACTATGGTGTGAGCACTACACCAGATGAATTAAATTAACAATTTACTTAGATACAAGTTTGTCAGTTGTGATTTTTTTTTACATTCTTACAATTCTTCTGAAATGTACACAAATACATTAAATATAACATTCTCTCATAACATTGCTGAGTTTGTTAGTGCAAACATAAACTGAACAATTTCTTACTTGATTTATGTACCCAGAAGGAAAAGAACTAACCATTCCATGAAACCAGCAAAGTAAGTTCTGAATTGAACTGGGGGGGGGGGTGTTCATTTCAAATATTTGTTATTGCTTTATTTCATGAACAATGTAGAGTGCTGGAAAACACACACATATACTGTTGCACCCTTCCAAGCAGAAGCTGCTAAGCAGTTTTAAAACCCCATTTATAATTTAATTATTATTGTTTTGTTTTATTTATTAAAACAACTAATCACCGATCATAGATGTGGGATTGAAGGTTATGAAAGTCCAGTTAACTGCAAACACACATGCAAGTATCCCTACTCCTGTGGGTAATCTTATCCATGGGAAGTTAATTGCATACATAAGTCTGCAGGATCCGCCCCTTTAAAACAGAAGCTGAGGTGAAATTGTTCAAACACCTCTAAATCAGCAGAGAATTAACATCAGCTAAAACGCAGGAAATAAGTGATATTCTAAACTGTGAGCAAAGCATTCTAAATGTTATATGTGAACTCTATAAAGGGAGGGTCCCAGCATTTGTTTGGTGCTGACATTTTTTTGCTAAGGGCCAAACTCCCACTGAAATGTATGGGAGTGCATGCACAGCAAGAGAGTACTCAGGATGAGTGAGGACAGGTGTCAGATTCCGTCTCTAAGGGTTTGGCTACACTGGCAATTTACAGCGCTGCAATTTTCTGGCTCAGAGGTGTGGAAAAACACCTGAGCGCAGCAAGTTTCAGCACTGCAAAGCGCCAGTGTAGACAGTGCACCAGCGCTGGTAGCTACGCCTCTTGTTGAGGTGGGGTTTTTTTAGAGCGCTGTGCTGCGACCACACAAGGCACATTACAGCGTTTTACAGTGTTTTACAAACAGATGTTCTTATGTAAAGGGGTAACTCGCAGTGCAAATCAAAATGCCATAGTAGGCCACATCAAACCCGCTATTGCTCTGCTGCACTGAGGTGATAGCTACAAATAGTTGTGAACTCAGTTCTCCTAAGGGGCTTCGTTACTAATGCATTAATCCATTGGTTTTTTAGAGGAATCAACTTGTCCCTGAAATACATGACTGCAATTAACCAGTGTTAGGTCGTGTCTCCTAAACCAACATGGAGCCTCAAGTGCTGCTCCAGCAGTCACCCACCCCCCCACACACAGTTGTTTTCTGTAAGTTCAAAACATAGCCCCAAACTGTCCAGGCTTGTAATAGCTCTGCTTGGGCTTGGCACGCCTCTTCCAGCCTCAACACATGCCTTTTCCCGCTGCCTGGCTCCAGCGGGGTTGGGGCACCACAAGTCCCGCCAACCCAGTTAAACTGGTGCAATAGCCAGGATATAATGGTAAGGCTGCTTATGTAACCCACACACCTCCTGGGTGTGATGCTCTGTCCCATCTAGTGGCACCCAGACCACTTAAAGAGAAAGATAAAATGAGTCTGCTCTACAGCCTTAGCTAACAGGCAGTTGGCTTTTAGCTCAGACGGTAGAGGCTCAGGCACTAACCTCCAGAGGTCCCAGGTTCAATCCAGTCGGCATTACACTTACTCAGGGGCAGCTCCAGGCACCAGCGCAGTAAGCGTGTACCTGGGGCGGCGTGTCGGTCGCTGTGAGGGCGACAGTCAGGCGGCCTTCGGCGGCATGCCTGCGGGAGGTCCCGCGGTTTCAGCAGCAATTCAGCGGCAAGTACACCAAAGCTGCGGGACCGGCAGACCACACGCAGAAATGCCACCGAATCCACGTGACCGCGGACTGCACACAGGCATGCCGCCGAACCCCGCCTGACTGCCGTGCTTGGGGTGGCAAAAAACATAGAGCCGACCCTGCACTTGCTCACCTAAAAAGTTGGCCCAGGTGTTCCTTGCAGCACAGGGGTTTCCTCTGCAGGTGGCACCATTACAATAAGAACCTTCTGAGTAATATTTCAGGAGCCGCATTTAAAGAGACAGCTTGAGCCTGAGGCGGGCTGAGACCAACCGGGTTTCTGTGAAGCTTTGTCAGCTGCGTGAACTACGCAGTTTTAGAGAGTGAGGGGGCGTCCCCTAGCGGGCGAGTTGTGCAACGTGTGCGGGGTGGGTGGGGGCGTCTAGCTTTCCTAATTCTACGCGTTTAGAAGATTAAAATCCCCCCCCCCCCCATTAGACGGGTGGGACTCGGTGTAAGTGTCTAACCAAAGACACCCGCGGGATTCCACAGGCGCCCCGCTCCTCTGCGCCGCGCTGGGGGGGCGGAGGGGAGGGGGGCAGGACTGGCTAAGCTTGCACGGCCACGCAGCCACCTATGGAGCAGCGAAGAGCTGCTGGGCAAGGCTTTATCGCCCCCTACTGGCTCCGTGCTTGTGTAACCTTCGCTAGCGCCTGACTCCCCTGTATTCCTTCCCCCCCCCCTTTCTCCTGCCTTCCCCTCTTCCCCCAACCAGCCCGTTCCCCATCCCCGACTACTGAGAGCTGTAGCAGTCCCCAGGAGCCGGCGTCCTTTGGTGACATGTTTTTTACTCACGAGCTTGAGGGGCTCGTTGCACGGGCCCGCTGCTATTTCTCGCGCTGCGTCCCACCATGCCCCAGCCCCAAGGGCTCTAACGGGGCTGCCAGGAACTCCCTCCCGTGCGTGATGTCCTTTGAACACACCGCTAGGCCACTCTCTCCTTTCCCCCCACCCCAACATTTCCTCCCTCGTCTAGATTTACATCTGATTTCTCCGTCGTGTTAGAAAGATCCCCCACCCCACTCCCTCCGCCCAGCCACCACACGTTATCAGCCTGGAAAAGATTTGGGAGAGCGGAGCACAAATCCGGGCAGGGTGATCAAATACTATTTCTGTGCCTGAGACAGCCCAAAAGTCAACGAGGGCCGGAATAAACCCACTGGGAGGACGGGAAGGGGAAAAATGGCTGGGTGGCCTCCTCCTCTTTCTGCAAAGCAAGTCCACACCAGAGAATTGCAGCGATACGTGATTACAATCCGCTTCTTTCATTTTAGACTCAGCATTACCACAAACCCCACGTAGTACCTTCCCCAGTCATCCGAAAGGCTGACGCTTGACGTGAAGGTTGAATATATTTCTAGATCAGGGGTCGGCAACCTTTCAGAAGTGTTGTGCCGAGTCTTCATTTATTCACTCTAATTTAAGTTTTCGAGTGCCAGTAATACATTTTAACGTTTTTAGGTCTCTTTCTATACGTCTATAATATATAACTAAACAAATGTTGTATGTAAAGTAAATAAGGTTTTTAAAATGTTTAAGAAGCTTCATTTACAATTAAATTAAAATGCAGAGTCCCCTGGACCGGTGGCCAGGACCCGGGCAGTGTGAGTGCCACTGAAAATCAGCCCATGTGCCACCTTTGGCACACATGCCATAGGTTGCCTACCCCTGTTCTAGATAATCTAAGGCAATGTTTGCCTTTCAGGAGCCATTCTCTATACACTCTTGACACAAACTCCCCACACCCACTTTAAAACACATTTCCTTTATTTAAAGGTGCCACATCTCCAGTTTTCTCTTAAACACGCTCCCCCCCCCCCTTTTCTTCTTGGTCCCTATTCTCACAGCTTTGCATACAGTAAAAAGCAAACCAGAGATAGTAACAAACATACAAATCAATTGCATCTTCAGCGGGAAGCCGGCGATCAATGTCAGTGTCCCCTCCTTTCTAAATAGGGAGCTGGCAAGCGGGCATACACCAGGCGGCTCGCGTGGTGTTCAGGAAAAGGGTGGGACGCTCTCCAGCTTGATTTCGAATTATTTTAGGGGGTTCTTTTACAAATCAAACTCAAGAGTACTATTATCTGGCCAGACATAGCATTACTATTACAACGGAGTCAAGTCTATTCAAAGTGATGTGAAGTCTGCGTGGAAAGTTTTCGAACCATTCAATGTTTTCTCCTATCAGACCACAAACTGATTTAGTCAAAGAAAATGATTTAGAGGGGAAAACACCGAAAACACAATAGTCCTTTTCGCCTTCAGACTGCTTCCCGGAGTCCTTGAAAATCAACTGAACCCTATTCCTAGTTACAAAAGTTACACAGCATTATTTTTTTCACTTTTGCAAATCATTGGATGAGAAAATATTAGGTTCCTAGGAGAGAAACTAAAGGCTGGAGAGAGAGAGAGGGAAAAAACACATAAAATGCATCTGTGTAATTCTAAAAACAGCACTCAGCTCACTCGCATTTCCTGAAAAGACAAATTACAATAGGAAGA